TCTGCTATGATGTACATTTCGACACAAGCAAGTTTAGCCAACGGAGTCTTAATGAAGGCGGTGATGAATGATGGGACTGTCTCCTCTCGAGAGTGTTTGGGGTTGATAGGAGGGAGCTTGATACTGGGTCATTTCCCACTCAGCGGCGATGCCATTGCTTTCTCAACAGTCTTGAGAGCAAACTTGCCTCTGCGTGCGACGGTTATACATGTAAAATTAGGCGCGTCGTTTGCAGTTGGAATAGTAAGTATACGTGGATGAATATCCATGGTATTCATCCAGTACTCAACACAACGTACGAGGTTTCGGTTTTTGGAGACTCATAACTCTGGCACTCGTAGTATATCAAATCTCATCGTTGGGTGAAGAAGCATTACTGAAAACAGAATACACGACTCAAGTGGCCTAGAGCAAGGAGGTTTAACGGTATTAGTCTATTAGTTTAAGTAGACCTAAAGAGTGGTATATGTCGGAGCCAGGTACTAGTAGACGCAAAACTCCAAGACCATGGACATGATATTGACCGTCAATCCATCTCGGGAAGACCTCATGGGTGTATGTGGCTCTTCCAAAACGCCAGCGAAATGCAGAAACAAAATAACATGGTCGCGTAAATACAACACACACGATGAGCATATCATTAATACAACAATCTCCACAAACTGGAATAATTCCCAAAAATTAAGAATCGTTGCGGGTGAACTCGTGGTGCTCCTTTCTTGTCAAAGGTACTCAACAACTGACCTATGCGTAGTCTTCCTTGACGCGGCGGCTGCTGTTGACGTCGAACGACTGGCGGCTGCGAGTGCTGCGCTTTCGGCTGAAGCGGCTGCCTCCAGTGTAGCCCTTGTCGCCGCGGATGCCGATGCAGAACAGGAGGGTCGCAATGAGAAGGGCGGCCCAAGCTCCCCAGGTGAAGCCAAAGGCGTAGGTGCCGATGTGGGCCTCACGACCTTCGGCCTGAAAAGCGTTGCGTGCCTTGACGAACGTTGCGCTATTGAGAAATGTTAGTCACTATGAACAGACTGAGACGATGGATAATGGTGGGACGTACGTCATCAGAGCGGCGGCAACGGTCAGGAAGAAGAGAGCCGAGGCGGAGACCAGGCCGGCGACAGCGGCGCCGAGACGACCGCAGCAGGCGAGGAAGCTGGCGAACCAGGCAAGAGCCATGAAGAAGAGGGCAATCAGGTACATGACCCAGCCGAAACGCCACATGTAGAAGTACTCGGTGCTGGTGGTGCCGCCTCCGTGGCTACCAGAAAGACCGGCGGGAACGTTGGCCGCATCACGGCCCCAAGCCCAACCAAAGGCTGGGGCAGGCCAGGCACCCCAGCACTCTGCGTTCTGGTCGTTGCAATAGTAAAAGTAGTTCCATCGCGTAAGCCCGTTGTGGGCGCCAGTAATGCCAGTGGTGTCAGCCTCGAGGAAATAAGTGTTGTTGAGGGGCGCGGCGTCGCGGACAGCAGAGAGGATGACGAAGAGCAGGAGGACGATGGAGCCCGAGAGGAAGACGATGGCAGCAGTGCCGAGCGGAGCGTCTGGAATGATGCTGTGTCAGTCTGCAATTGGAGACTTGAGAGTATGTTTCGCGGCGCAAGGGTGGAACAAGGATAGAAGACTCACGTTTAACCATTGCTGCGAATCGGGTTGGCTGTTTGTGGGATTGCCTTTTTTGTTCTCCGAAGGGTGGTGTTTGCGATTCTTTGCGATGGCTGGGAGGAGAGGGTCGGCGGAGATCTGTAGGGATTTGTACTCAGCGATTGTGTCTTGTTTTTGGGCAGCCGGGGTTGCGCAGGAATGTGAGATAATGGAGAAGTAGTGAGTTTGACCAAGGAAGAACAGAGTAGTATAGATGGCGTACGGGTGTGTACTAACACAGTCGCAATTTCACACTCGTCACTCGGGGGGCAGCTAGGTGGTGATGTTGATGACAAGCAATGGGAAAACTCACCGGATTCGCAAAAAGTGTTTCAGAGGGATGAGGGAGCTATGACAGGCTGGGGCGGGATGTCTCTGGCTTATGTTTCTGGGGTTGTTTTCTGTTTGCTTCTGACCCTTGTTCAAAACCCGGCCGTAATAGGTTGAAGGGAACTATAGGAAGGGTAGAGGTAGGGATGCTGGGGTTATTGATGCCTCCCGCCGTCTGGATGATTCGTTTGACCGACTTGTTGGTTCTGTAAGGCAGATGAAGCGGCTCACTGGCGGATCGAAATTGCAACAAGGCTGGTGGGAGTGCAGATTTACTTCCTAAAGACTGAGCTGGCAGAAGCCCTAGATGAGAGTATCCGTAGGTCGGGGGTCTGGGAGGGAAGAGGGAAGAATCAAGAATTGGATGACGGGCGAGCAATCAGATGATGCAAACCAAATTCAGAATTTCAGACAGCCGACGCCAAACCAAGCTCGGGACTGCGTGTACGAAGTACCTTGGATACTTCAGGTAGGTACCAGGGCACGAAGCCAAACTAGCGGGGAGAGAAGGAGCCCCCCCGGTTTGCAGTGACTTGAGGCCCCGACTGAGTATAGCTCCTGCGACTTTCGGCTGCTTGGAATTGCTTGGATGGAAGGAAGCAGCAGCTAAGCTTGCTGCTCGTGGACTTGGGCCTGGTGTTGGTCGCTGCCCACCTGCTGAACAGCGCATGCGTCGGGTGGGCCATGACGACACCACCGAGCCACTGCCGGGATCCACCTGACAGTGCAGAGTATCAGACGGACGGTAGACATATGCGTATTACTGCACCAAAATGGTACAGTCGGCAACCTTTCGCACACAGTAAACCCGCAGTCAACCGAGACCTTGCTGGGCAACAGCGCCGGACCATCGCCCTAGCGCCTGCTTCTCCTGAGCCACTGTGATTCGTCGCGCACGCCAGTCACCGACTGCCAGCGCAGGGACCTTCCTCGGCCCAGCCCCTACCCTGCCACGACGTCATCCAACATCCTCTTCCAGCTTCTGCCCCCCCTCCCCTGGCTCTTTTTTCTTCTCGCACCGGGCCAACCACATCATTCATCACGATTCAGTTCCTCGCACTCTGACCCCTCGCTGGCCGCTTGCATCTTCAAGGCTCCATCATCTCCTTCGGTTGTGATCGTCAAAACACTAATCCTCTCCAGGCTCCGAACAAGGCTGGCAATCTTCCGCTCGGATGGTTCATCGAAATAAGGCCTCGCACTGTCAACTTGCATCTCGGTATCCCGTACGGAGTAGTGTATCGAGTGTCCTTACAGGATCCCTACAGGTTCTGTTTCGGTTCGGATGAAAAGCACATGGCTGCAGCTTCTTCGTCCATTGCTTCGGCCCAACGTCTGCTGAGCTTCCACCCATCCGATGAAAACCTCACATGCGGCATGCCAAAGCGGACGGCTGCACTCGAACAATTGCTCAACCTCTGACTGCAAATGGGGGATTCTACCGTCGACACCATGTGACGAAACGTCGGACGTTGTTCCTCGAGTCGAGTGGCTCATCTCCTCCGACTCCTAGATGCAGGGTCTTTGTCCATCCAGCAGCAGCACCCTGCATGCCGAGGTAGAACACCTTGCTTCCGCCATCCTTGACCAGCTTCCCGAGAATTGCGCGTCTGGCGCAGCTCATAGAGTATCCAACGTGTGAGGGGTGGTTGCATCTCGAAATTTGAACCACTACCCACCTGTCTTCGCAAGATTCGAAGGCATCATATCGGGATGGCTCTGTTGTATTTTCATATCTTGCGTGGCCTGGACCAAGGTGATGTGTACTACTGTGGCTCAGATGTCTTGCTGCAAAATTTCCACCCACCAGCTCGCACACAGAGAGGCTTAGCTCGTGTGCTCTCGCGTCACCCGCCGGATGGGACGGGCACTCTGACTTCTCCCTCACAGCTTGACAGACGCACTGCTACTTCGACTTCGGTTTCGATTCTCGTCGCCATTGGGCCCGAACTTGCCAGGCAAGGCAGGCCTCACGTTTCGAAGTTCCTTTGTGACTGACAAATAAGAAACACCTGGCTTGTCCGCCGTAGTGTACTCTTGAGACCATCGGCGCCAGATCGACTCGGTGCATCCGGTAACCCCACTTGGCGGTACGCCGGCGTCGGCTCCGCACACTACCAGACCATGAGCTCCATACGAAACATCTTCTCAGCTCGACAAGGCATCTTAATGTCATCATCATGAAGAGCTTGGTGACGGTATCACAGCTGGCTGGAAGCGAACTTGGTCCAGTTGGTTCTAATGTATGGGGCTAGAGCTAGGTTGACGGACAATGAGCATCATGCTTCACAAGGAAAGGAAAAGCCGTCATTAGGAGGGCATTGAGTTGTGCAAAAACACACAAGTGTCTCACCATCTCAAGGAAGTTATGGCGTCTTGTCTTGGAGGCCCAATGGCACGCACATGCAGCGCGGACACGAGCTGACAAGGCCTACCTATACAGATGACAGAGTGACGACTCGTAACCGACCCGCAATAATGCCACAAGCATACCGAAAAACCTTGAGGAAATCTTGGACGTACACCTTCTCTATCGCGGAGTAGAATCGTAGGAGCATACTAACGAGCCGAATGAACTTGACCGACGGAACAGATAATGTGGAGCTGTCCGGACAGAGGGCCCTGCTTATCGATAACAATTGCCTTCGAATGGAAACGACCTTGATGTGACAGGCCGGGGACGGTCGTCTGAAGGATCATGAACCCTACGCCTATCTCACGGAAGGAGGTGGCTCGTGCATTTGCCGATAACCTAACTTTATCGATAAGTTACGTACCGATGACAGTTCCAGCCGGCTCGTTCCGCTAAACTTTGTTCAAGCTTCTGGCAGCTTGCGTAGAACTTCATCTCAGCCACCGTCTTCGTCAAGAAACTCCGTTCAAGCCCATAGCAACCTCCGACAACACGCGAGCCGATGGGGACCCTTCGAGCCGCATACCGGATCTGTACATTTCCAACTCCAAGCTTCAAACGGACAGCGAATCAAATACCTGGTATAGTCTTGCGACAGGGAAGATGGAGCTCCTCAATGTCAATCTCGAAGTTGGTCTTCCCTGAAGACGACGGCGCCGAACCGAGCGCATTGCGACACCTTCACCTCGCTGGTTCTGATTCGAATGATTATCCCTCCTATGACTCGGCTTCAGAGTTCCAAACTGCCTTACGCCAGGTCTTCCTCGACTGGAAGTCGGCCCCAAACTCCCGCGCGCCGTCACCACTCGTTGTATCTTTCACTCCGGCACCAACGTATACCCTCGGCCGTCGCCAAAAAACTTTACTTCCCGAGCAGCTAGATCGACTCCAACAGCCTTTAACTGTCATCGACGAGACGAGGGCTGAGGCAGGGGAACAAAACGGTGGAACAGATTCACAAGATCGGCAGTTCACGCCCAAAGTCATTGAGACAGATCGTGGCGGACTGACAACCTATCACGGACCAGGGCAGGTCGTCCTATGGCCGATATTGGACTTGCACAGCACATACTATCCCCACATGACCGTTCGATCCTACGCGCGACTCATAGAGGAGACAACACAAGCGATCCTCGCCGATGGACCGCGGATCCAGACTTATCTCTCCGAGGACGACCCAGGGGTATGGGCCGAGGCCGCAAGGCAGCGGACAGGAGGACAGGAGCGCAAGATTGCCGCCATGGGCGTTCATCTCCGCCGTCATATCTCGGGGCTCGGCACGGCGCTGAACGTGGATGTTGTCGTTGATGGTGACGAGACATTGAATCCTTGGGCGAGGTTTGTGCCGTGCGGACTCGAAGGTAAAACCGCCACCAGTGTAAGAGCCGAACTGGGCGAGGCTTCCTGGAGGCGATTGAGTCTTGCTGGCGATGGAAAGGCGAAGAGAGAATGGTATGCGCGCCGGTGGGCCGAGGAGTTTGCAAAGCGCCTAGGAGTCGGCATTGCGCCGGTGACAGTGCATCGTCGACTTGGATGACCATATCATCCAGGCCATACGGAAGATCCGAACCAGCCATCTTGCCATCTGTCTGTGAGTCGCGTCCCGGCACTGGTTCGTGGGAAACCCGACCGCCAGAAGCAACATTGCTGGTGGCTGGATTGCATCACGGGTTACACAACATGTACCTTGCCCGCCTCTTTGCATCTTCTCGTCAGCTATCAAATTCCGAGCCCCTCTTTCGGATGTCGGAGCAACCAGCATTTGACCGGACAGTTTACTATAGACGGCGCGTATTGAAGAGAGACGCGCAACCGGTGGTCGGTCCGGGTCAGCATATCCTTTCGCACTCTCACCTTATTTCCGGAAGAGCCAGAACGTAGTGTATTAAGTTCCAGCTCGCTGGGAACTTGGTTATTTCCGGTGCGGCGGGGGCGAGGATACTTCACGGCACATTGTCAATTACGATACCCCATGTTCATCAGCAAACACCTTTTCTGATATCTTGGCATATCAGGTTCCAGCCTGCCAAGCCAGGACGACCTCTTGGTCCTGTGTGGCGAAGCATCTTCATCACGCCTGCAGACGGGGGAGAGAGGCAGAGTAAGGTATGTCGGCATTGCATGTCACGAATACGATATCTCGCTGTCATTGGGTCTCTACTCCGTACAACCTTTACTGGTCGTAGATTGCCATCTCGATATCACGCTTTGGCGAGAGCCTTGGCAAAATCGCACTTTGTCAAGCTGCCACGCACGTCTTCCCGTAACAATTGCTCCGGGATACACCGGGGACAGACGGGGGGAGAGAGGGGGCGTGGTGGCATGGCTGAACCCCATAGGATGTTGCTTTTCTTCCACAAGAGGGCCATCGAAGCGGACCCCCCCCCCCCCTTTGTTATATGAGGTTTACAGGTAGATGGGCGTAGATAGACATGGATAGAGAAGGAGAGCGAGTACGGACACTTGTTTTTAGCCAGTTAGGTAACGTCCAAATACTTCCTACTCCTGCTCTTTGCGGGATTTCTACTGCTGCATTCTGTCTTCGATTTCTCCTCTCACATAGTATTACCAATTGCAAAATGCAATGCAATGTAATGCAATGCCCACCTGTCCCATGCTCCGGGCAAAGTCCATGATATGCCGCGCCAAGCCCCACCACCACCACCCCCCCCCCCCCCGTAGGACCTCACACTCACACCTCACATCTCACCCTTTTGACGCCATGGCACAAAAAAAAAAAGTTTCAAGAGTTTCAACGGGCGTTCGTCGCATGCTTTGATGTCAGGGGTGCCAGGTGGCAAACCTTTAGCCGCAGACGCAGACGTAAGATCATGGATAGCCCACATGTGCAGTACATACTTTTGTACACACCCACAACAACCACCTTGGAACGACGTTGCAGATTTGTTCCCATAGAAGGGGGCAAGGGGGGAAGGGAGCCGGGGGGGGGGGGGGGCAAAAGATCGACCATCTCCCTTTCCATGTCAAGGCCGTTTTCGCGGCAGGCAAAGATTCTCCTTTCTTTGCCATGGATATGCCGTCTTCTAGGCCCGCTCCTCCAACGATGCCACTGTCGAATACTCAAAACGACCACAAAAGGACAGCAGATTTTTGCGCACTAGAGAGTACTATTAATTATCAACGCCGATGCTATGATGAGTATCAACCCGAGGAGCGAACCCTCCCGCCAAATAAAGCCGTGAAGAAGATGAAGCCCTCCATCATAAATCATGATGCCTTTCCCATCTGAGTAGAGCAAAACACTAAAATCACAATGGGCCAAATCAAGGCAAGTTTTAATTCTCCCACAATGCGGGCCCCCAGAGACCACCAAAAAAGTAACACCAACTTGTCCCCCTTGTCCCCCTTGCCCTCCTCCATTACACCCTAGAAATCGCAGTGGCGGTCCCCCTCCCCCCCCTGATGCCCATGGACTATGGCAAAATTCCACCTCATCACTGGTCCAATGGCTGATGGTACAGTGGTCCCATCGTTTGTGTGATTGCCTGGCCTAGTGATCCGGCCTGACCCTTCCCTTCTTCTTGGGCGCCGGCAGCCGCTCGTGGTGGCCATCATCGTCAGGAGTCCACTCCTCGGGATGAAAGTGAGGATTATTATAGTGCGCCTTGTTGAAATGGCTGTTCTTGAACATTGCAGTAGTAAAGCTGGGTTCTTGGAATCCTGCCTGGCCGGGTATCACTGACGGTTGCGCCGAGCTGGTATTGTTGAGATGCCAGCACTGGTGACTAAATCTGAGCTGGTAGTCAACAGGTTGCGATGGCTTCGCAGGGGCGGGCGTTGACTGTTGTGGTCGAGCTGGCGTTTGAGACTGTGGTCGAGGGGCCGGTGCCGTGTGCTGCTGCTGCTGCTGCTGCTGCTGCTGCTGAATGTGATCAGAGAACGGCGTCGCGAGCCAAGGAGATTGAGGTGAAGGGTCATAGGCATCTGGGAGCGGAGATGTGGATGTGGGCGAGCCGAGTGAAGACAGAGCCGAAGACAAGCCCGAGGGCGGGCCACCGAATCCGGGCAGCATGGCCAAGGGGCCGTAGTCGAGAGAATAGCTGTGCAAAGGGGGGCCCACGCTCGCAATCTCTTGAGAGTGAGAAAAGGAACCAACGCGGTGAACCTGAAGATTCAAGGGTGCCGGGTTCGGAGGCGACTTGTATAGAATGTCGTAGTGATCGGGCCGGTAGAGCAAGTAGATGATGGGGCCCAGAGTGGCAGGGTCTTGACCATTGGCCTCGTCCGGAAAGCGGTAAATGTTGACCTGGTTTCCCGGGCTACGATCCAGATATGCAATCTCCAGCACGAAGTTGATGGGCTTCAGCAGCACCTGAACAAGCAGAATAATGCCGAGATGGTCAATCTCTCTGTTTGGGCGTTCGATTTCGGCGCAATAGCCAATGATACCCGTCTCGGCGGGGATGAAGGGTTCGTAGAGCTCAACATTTCCCTTGAGCCATGAGAGCGCTAACAGACGAAGGTGGTAGATGATGGCATTGGAGGAGCCCTGATCGTTGAAGCGCTGGACCATGATGTCCATGGCCAGCTGTGGGTTGGCAATGTTCTGGGCGACATCTTTTAGCAATCCAATCGTCTCTTCCACCATGTCCTCAAACAACATCCGATCGTAGCCGCCGACGTTGAGGAGATACTGATTTAAGCTCGTGATGCGCGCGGCCTCGCCAAGGATCTGATGCTGGTCGCCATTGTTGATGAGATGCTCAAAGTAGGAGAAGCCGATTGCTAGAAAGGCATACTGTTAGTTACAACTAGCCTGAGTCCTGGAGTAAGGTAGTATGTCCGCTCGTCCAAGCAAGAAACATGTACGCCGACATGTCTCGTATTGAAGAGTGGCGTGCTTGAAAGAAGTGGTTTCCCTGAGGCCTTCGACTTTGTCGAGGGGCGGGGATGCGGGGTAGAAGGGTAAATTGGTGGTGGTGGTGGTGGTCAGGATCGTGAAAGGTAAACTCACCTCGCCAACCGCAATTTCCGTCGCCTTGAACAGGGCGATAGTGAGAATATGTCTGAGGAAGGTTCTGGAGTGAAGAAAAGACCAGAAGCACTACGTTAGCCAGTGCAGCATACTGCGTGGAGTAGGCATTTCCTAGGCCAGGAATGCTGAGATGGGACTCACGATGGTCTTTGCGATGTAGATTTCGTCGGCCTTGGCGTACTCGTCGGTTATGGCGTCGCTTGTGATCTTGTCGCCCACCAATAAACCCTAGAAAAGAGCGTAAGCCATGTTAGCGTTGCATGTGGTAGGTAGGGCCAGATGACATGTAAGAATTCGGGTTCGACAAGAGTTTTCGACAGGAAGAAACATTTCGTTCAATGGCATTGCACTCAACAAAGATGCTCAGAGAGGTTTGTGAAATTCTTGTGGTTGAGGGCGAGAAAAGAGAGAGCACTCGAAGCTTGGGGGAAGGGGTTCGGCGACGGGAGCTAGACGTGCGTCTCCCGGAGTCGGGGTGGCGAGCAACTCACCTCGAGCTGTGGCTGATAATCCCGAGCGGCGGCTTCTTGGGCGGCAACGTCGGAGGGGTCGCCGGGTTCCATGGCGGAAGGACGACGAGTGCTCACGGCGTGGGCTGGAGCGTGGGCGTGATCAGGAGCGGCGGCGGCGGCGGTGTTTGTGAAGCCTGGGTTGGCGTTGGAGTTGGTGGTGTAAAAGGCAGAAGAGGATGTTGTCGAAGAAGAGGCGCCGGGGTGAGGATGAGGAGGAGGAGGGTGTTGTTGCTGGACGTGTCCGTGGAGGTGGTTGTGGTTGGAGTAAAGGTTGGCGTGGGAGTATCCGTAGGACGAATGGGAGTAGGAGTGGGATTGGGAATGAGAGTGGGAATGGGGGTGGGAGGAGCGGGAGAGGGAGCGGGAGGAGGAGGAGGAGGAGGAAGAAGACGCGGAGGAGGATGAGGCAGACGCAGCGCCGGGGCTGTTATGGTGGTTAAGGTGCAAGTGGGCAGCAGAAGTAGCAGCCGAAACCACGGCGGAAACGCCAGAGACAACGTTGGCGTTGGTGGTAGTGGTGGTTGGAGCAAGTGAAGGAGGAGGAGGAGAGGCAGATGAAGGAGACTGAGACTGTTGCGGCTGCTGCTGCTGCTGCTGCTGCTGCTGATGATGATGTGCAAGTGCAGCAACCTGACTCTGAACCTGAACTGCACGCGATACGGGAGTGGTGCTGGCACCAACTGGAGCCCGGCCGGCACCCGGGCCGGGGCCAACAACAGGCGCTGTAGCCGCTGTTGGTGTTGTCGCCAACGGCCCTACTGCTGCTGCTGCTGCTGCTGCTGCTGTTGGGGCTGACTGTCTTTGCTGCTGCTGTTGTTGCTGCCCGCGGTACTGCTGTTGGCGCTGTTGGTATTGATGCTGCTGCTGCTGCTGCTGCTGGTGTTGTGATGCTCCTGTCATTAGCGAGGTTCCAGGTCCGGCCGGCGACGCAGCATTCAGGCTGTGTGCGCCTGCAGCTTCCCCGCCCATCCCCATAAGACCAGATAGCGACTGTGACAGTGATTGCGACCGCGGCTGCGACTGCGCCGACAGGGACAGCCCACTGTGGCCCAGGCCCATACCCATGCCGTTCAAGTTGCCCATGCCCATGCCCATCTGTCCCATCTGTCCCATCCCCAGCCCTAGCCTGCCGCCGCCGTCACCATCACCACCGCCGCCGCCCATCACCAGGGGGTTACCCATGCTGTCCAGTCCCACCGACGATGCACCCGACGATGAACCCACTCCAGCTCCAGCTCCAGCTCCCATGCCAGCTCCCACAGCTCCAGCTTGGCCATGAGCTTGACCTGGACCATGACCTTGGCCTCGACCACTAGAACCCGAGCCAGAGCCAGAGCCAGAGCCAGAACCAGAACCAGGGCCGCTTCCTGATCCTCTCTCTTCTCTTGCTGACGACAAGTAGCCGTAATGTGAGCCCGTCATTCCTGAATCAAGGCCGACGTCGTGAGATGCACCTCCTCCGACACCATCGCCCACCATACCCATCCTCATCCTCATCTCCACTCTTCCTACCCCTCTTCCTCTCGCTCCTCCTCCTCCTCCTCCTTCTTCATTCTTCATCAACATGTCTCCCAACCCTGTTGCGCCAGTGCTGATGCCATAGCCTCCGCTGTTCTGAGACGGGTGGTCCTGCGGCGGGCCGCCCTGGGTTTGGATGTACGTTTGACCATGACCTTGGGGATGCGGGTGAGAGTATGGGTTGTGTGCCGAAGCATGAAACGCAAAAGGCGTTGGTTGAGGCTGGAACATGGCCTCAGTTGCGCTCTCGCTCCTTTGTCCTGCACTTTGGCGTCTTGTTTGGCCGACTCGAGGGTCCCAGCGAGGCTTTTCCTGCGTCTCTCTTGAATGTCTTTCCAACACTCAGCTACCTGATGTGATGCGCTGCGGTACGGTGCGATACGGTGCGATGCGGCAGCTGTGGGCGCTGTGGGCGCTACTGGCTATCTTGCTGCTATTGATGCCGCTATTGCTGACGACTCATGCAGTATGTCTTATGCCGAGTCTCCGGTCCTGAGTCGACCTGAGGTGATTGGCACGAGAAGACGAAGGCCAGAGACTGTGGAAGCAAAGGAAAAAGAAAAGAAAACGGGATGATGACTGAAACGATGAGAGAAAAGGGAGGTAAGGGGATGACTGAAAAACGGGCGAGGCGAGTGTGAGTTGAGTCGCGTACAGTCGAGTCTGAGTCGGGGGAGTCGGACGATGTGACGGGTGCGATCCAACGAGCCAGACAGCAATCAGTCCAATCTGCGCTCCAGAAAGAATCCTGACAGGATTCCAACGACGGGGTTAGGAAGCTCACGGCGATCAATAAAGTAGACAGGCGCCTGCCGCTCTAAGTTACCTTACCACACAGATCCAGTGGAAACAATTTCCCCAGGCCGAGCCAGACAGGTTTGTAGGTATTCGGCTTCTCTGTTTCTTCCTCTGTCTGTCTCTGGATGTGTGTGTCTCCTCCTTTAGATCGGGTCGGGGATCAGGTCAGGTCAGCTCAAAAGCAGCCCGACTAGTACTTCCCTCCCCCCCAATAGTGAGCCGCTTGTATGCAGCTTGGCTTGAGATGACGAATAGAAAGGCCCGCAACAGGGGTGATAATAGTGCAGAAATTCGATGGCCGTCCGAGGGGCTAAAAAGGAACAATAATGTGACCTGTGGTTTTCCGGGGTGCGTCTGGCCCTTTGCTTTCCGTCTGCGCGGCGTTGGACGTTGACGCTTCTTTGGTGTGAATCGCCGTTGCGACAGTCGCGAGAGCCCGCCAACTTGTGCGATCGACTCTGGGGTCCGGGCTTCGCTTGTGGAGGTTGTCCGATGCTAACACTCTCACTGCCTTAGACTAACAGCAAGTATGTGCCTGTCACTGCCTGCGGCAAAGACTGTTATTGCCAAAATGTCTTGGTGTCCTGGGGCCTAGTCTGACCTCCTGTCTGGATTTGGAAATTGGCGTGTCCGGTGGTGCTCTTTGCCGTGCTGAATACAGCTCGAATGGGTGTACTGGACCGGCTGGATCTGGGATTTGGTTCTTGATTCCGGCCTCTCGGCGAGCCGAGCTGAGATGCTTCCGACGAATGGCGGATGACGGAGGATGTGGAGGAATTCGATGTGATGTGATGTGAGTGTGCAGTGCCGTGCCGCAGCTGGAGATCGGAGGGTAAGGTAGGTACAGGTATGGTAGGGCAGACGAGCCCGGTATCGCGGTTGTACTGCCTGCTTGCTGACGATGGCTTGGTGGATAAGGTAGGTACTGGTCTACCTACCTGACTGTGGTCAAGTCGACGCGATAGATGATGGATGGCTAGCAGCTGGTCAGGGGACTGAGTATGCTGGTCTATTAGCTTCCGCCAATGGAATTTCGCAGAAAAGGGGACGGAAGGGTGAAAGACGAGAGGCGAGAGGTCCAACTAATAAAGGAGGAAGATGGGAAGACGAAGAAGACGGGAGGAGAGCAGGTGTAAGTACTTGGGGAATGAACGGGAGAAAACATAGGGGCGAATGATGATAATCAGAGTCCCGAGCCTGTCAACTTGTGTTGCGTCTGCACGCATAGGCAAGGTGGATGAGGCCCGGCAGACAAAAAGACAGGCAGCGTATCCGTATCGTATCTTGTTCTGGGGTCAAAGTAGGTAGGTAGCCATGGTTGCACCAAGAACAGGCGATGGAAGCTAGCATGACACAACACTGGAGTAACGGCACAAGCAGCCGCATGTGCAGGTGCAAAAACATCGGCAACGGCATCGAGGCAGGGATGTTCAAGGGAAACAACAATATCAGGACCGCGACAAGACCATGAGCAGCTAGACGGCATCATCCGGCGCTGCAGTTGGAGCAAGGTGAAAGTACCTTGCCGTCTATGACCGAGTACTCATCCATGGAGGTAAGGTACCTTTGGTAGGTACTCGGGTTGAGAGAGTTGGGAACTCCAAGGAAGAAACATCAGGTACCCGTACAGACACATGCATCCCATGTAAGGCAAGGGAAACCAGGGGACAGAAATGGGCCATGGCAGGGCACCTGGAGATGAACGGATAGAGAAAGAAAGAAGAAAGAAGGGGGAAAGTACCGGTATCCGTACGGTACCTTAAGGTAGCCCTCAGACTCAAGAAGGCTTCATTGTGTGATGCAGTGGGCAAGTACCAAACATGGGGTGCCGTACCTCACAATGGTTGGCTGGTGTTCTGATACAAGTCTGCATAGTCCGTTTTTCGTACTATGTATGGCATGGCATGGTATCCGTAGCGTGCTGTGTGAGTGGTTGTGAACTTGTGGTGCCGATGGTGGGATATTCAGAGACCACGCAGAGCGGCGCGCGCAGCAAACCGCCCGCGATGGGAGTGACGGGATATGGGAATGAGCAGGGGGTGGGTCATGGGCATACAGAATACACACGGATAGACATGGGATGGGTGGATGAGAACGTTGTCAACGGGGATAACGGGGAAAACGGGGACGGGAATGGATACAGACGTCCAATGTAATTGCCAATTGGGGTCCAGTTTGTGGATGGTGAGTTGTGAGGGCGCATTGTAAGCGGCGCCAATTTTGAGAGAGAGAAAGAGAGAGAGAGAGGGAAAACACTCCCTAGCCCATTTCTTTTCCTTCTATTCGGATGGATGCTGCGCAAGGTACTTTGTCAAGAGTGTCCCTAAGGTAAAGTAGGTAAGCACGTAAGGTAGTCTTGATGTGCTTTGCCTTGTATACCTCAATGTCAGGTACCTTTTAATTTTTGGTATCCACAGATCAATCGTCGGCCCCGAACAGCCCAGTGCGTGTGCAGATTTCGCCCAAAGTGGCACAGCAAGAGAAGACCAAGAGGAAGAGGATTGCGAGTACATCGACATGTTGTGTGCATCGTCGGATAGGTACCGTTTCGAACAGATGACAAGGCTCGAGGGTCGTCGGGTCGAGGGCAGGCCGCAGAACAAGAGAGAGGGAAGAGACAAAGGAAAAGTCGGACGAGATACAGAGACAAGAGCCCGAGCCCAACGATCCTGGTCTGCAGTCGGGCCTAGGCGTGCTTCCTAGACTTCTGGATTCCTGGTCCTCAGAGGTAGTCTGCGGCGGTCTGGCCAGGTCGGCGCCAGGTTTCCCTTGAATCTCGGACGTTAATTGGCCATCTCAATCTGTTGGACTGGTCGACAATCCTTCAGTTGACTGTCGGGGAATTGTCCGTCTGCTATGGATTGGTCGCGGGCAAAGGTGCACAATGGGACGTCGATAGGTAATGGATAGGATATCGTGGGTGTGTGTCGTTGTAAAGTAGCTCAACGATGCTATGGTGATATTGCGTACCCGCACGAGGGGCCACGGGAGCGGCATGTCTTTCAAAGACCTGGGAACATTAGTTTGGGAGTGCCATGGATGAGGTGATACATACCTTGCTCTGTATCCAGATTCGAATACACACGGGATGCCTCGTGTCCGATGTAAGATATGAAGCAAGATCTTTCAGAAAGATCACTTGCCCTAAGGTAAGGCAAGGAACCTTGAAGAGCAGCAAAGACCGGACGTCAATCGAAGGAGATGAGCAAGTGAGATGGAGATGGAGCTTCTCTGAAGTTCTCTGGAGAAGCTTGCCCAAGAGCAGAGCCAAGGTGCTCCTTGCCTAGGTACTTTCCCTTACCTAGGTAGATCGGGCAGGAACCTGGGGCCAGGATTGAATGTTCTTTCCTCTTTACTTTGCGATATCTCAACGCGAGGCAGGTCCGCTCCGTTACGTTACCTTACTGAAGATGAGATCAAAGGGGCAAGAACAACCTCAATCTCAACCTCAAGCTTTCGTGGCGACGGACCTGCCTCACTTTACCTCAAGATACCTTATGGAAGGTACTTTGGGTATCTTGGAGAAGGGAGGAAGGTGCGAATATCCCAAGGTACCTACATACCTACCTACCTTAGGTACCTTGACGTTGTCAATTTGAGACTCCTCACCCGCGTGCGCTCTCTCTTTCTCTCTCTCTCTCTCTCTCTCTCTCTCCGTCTTCAACAGCCTTCAACGTCGTCTCTTTGTCGTCTTTATCTTTATCTCCTCGTGCTCCTCTACCTTACCTTGGGTATCTGCACCTCGTGTCCTTCTGAATATGGCGCGCGGACACTGTTTGGGTTCCGCCTTGTCCTCGATATGGATAACTCGTTTCTTATTTTATTTTATTTTTTACCAAGGAGAACAGTCGTACCTGCTGCACAAA